TATATATACAGTATATATATATATATTTGCAGCATCAGGAGAAACTAAATTCTGCAAAGGCTCAAAGACTCAATAAAATGTATTTAACAGGTAAAAAGTGGATTTTGAAGATCTGTTTTCAGATCAGGAACCACACAGGTTTGAACCTGGACCTACCAGGACTGGGTGCACGCTCGTGTAAATGTGAAGCTGAAGCAGGGTGGTCCGCTCCGGTCCTGTTCCCACCGCGCAGCGAGGGGTCTGAGTCAGAGTTTAGAATATTTTATCTTTGAACGTGCAGTTTTAGGTCAGGCAGACCGGTCCTTCCTGGTCTTTGTGTGGACGAGGGTCTTACTAGGAGGCGGGTTCTCTGAAGGTTCTATGTAGTTATCGTCATCAGCGGTCCCATCTGGGTCGATGTAGTCCTCCTGCAAACACAACRGTTTCAGCTTCAGTGGAAATCATTCAACCAGAAGTAGGTGAGCTGAAAAAGGAGAAGCAGCCTCACCTCGTCGTACCCCACACGGGGGGGCTCGGGAGGAAGTTGTTTGGAGGCTTTGCCCGCGATGGGGGGCTTCTTCGGTGGTCTGCTGAGGCGTTCACGGCAGCTGTCTGGAGAAAAGAAGAAGAAGAAACAGAAACTGCAGATCAGGATTTGCATGAGGTGTTGTGTTTTTGTGGGTTCAGTTGCACCTCTGCAGGAGGGAGGGCACCACGAGTTACTGAAACTAAAAACATTTTGGTTAAATCTTTAAATAACGTGAAGCTGTTAGAGCTCAGAGCTACTGAGGATGACTCTCAGCTATATGTACCATTTTGCTACCTTTACCTTTCAATTTGCATTTTAACATTTTGGATAGCCTTTTGGTATTTAGCTTTTTGCTAATTTTCTTACTTCTAATTTGTAGAATTTTGTCACTTTTAGCTAGCTTTTTTTACTTTTGGTTTTTGTCATGGTCCCAAAGACACCCACAGCAGCCGAAACTAAGGACAAATCCCAGCGTGGACACGTTCAGTAGAGGGAAAAAACTTAAAAAAAACTATTTCCTCTTGTCCAGCCGAAACGCCGGCCGCAGTGGGTAGCTCCGGTCCCCGGAACCGCCTTTAAGACAACGCCAATAAACTGTCGTGGACACGTTTATTAAGAATGCAGAAACACGTTGGAATAAATGCACAGAAAATCTGCGTGTATGGTCATGAATTATTTAATTCTGGGCAACAATAAACAAAACAAATCAAGGAAGTCTGTTGAATTGTTGAATTGTCTGTTGAAAAAAACCAGAGGCACAGAGACAGGCCAGGTTCTCTGTGTTTCCTGT